TTTTCCTGCCGGCTGAGCTTGCGAAAGAGGCAGGAAATGAAGTTCTCTCACACTGAATGGGGGACCTGGGTACGAGTCAGGATGTCAGTTTCACGCTCGGTCACGTGATTCAGTTTTCTTTTCTTGCCGGACAGTGCAACAGTTTTCCCACCCTCTCGCCCCTTAGCAAATTCTTGCTTAAAGTTTATGGAAGTGTATCAACGTTTGGGTAGTTTTATCCTGTTGTTGACTCCGACTCTGTTATGTTGTGATGTTGATAGAATTGTCAATAAAGTGCTGTTGCATTGTCGTGTGGCGGACAAATGGCATTCAGTGTGTGAGAACCGTTTTTTATTTTAGTTTAGTTTTCTATATTTTGGGGGCGTTTTAAATAAAACAATTTTTCCACTCGCGCTTGTTGGATAAGAGATGACTGATTACAGCCATCTCGGTGCTACGCGCCTCGTTGGCCATCTACCATCTCATATCCAAGGGGTACTCGTGGAGTAATTGTTAGACAGCACTCCATTAGCAAGCTGAAGAAACACTGAATCGAGAGTGCTTATAGCTCTCAATAATAATAATTGATAATTAATGACTCAATGCAAGTACGTGCTACCCAGGCTAACCATTGTCTCATTGAATCTGATTCGTTGATATTCCATGTTAACTATGTGCTATTCACTATTCAGGTTTTTTAGGCACCCACCCAGCACAGGAAGGTGTAGGGCAATTGATTATCAGAATCTTGAGCTGTACAAGCTTTTGTAGAGTTACTGTAATAATCGCTGGATTGTATCCTAATCATATATTAGTAAAGTTGAAACTTCATCTTACAACTATCCGGTTTAACCTGAAGAAAAAGTCAGTTATTCAAATGTTCTGTTATTTCTCACCTTATGGAGAGCAGGTTTATGATTTTCTTCGTGTTTATCTCTGAAAAAAATCATGATAGATAAACACATCAGAATACGTCTTGCCAAAACATGATATTATGGAGTAAGTCTTCGCATACTCTTACATCGTATTCGGTTATTAATTTACTCCTTATTTAGACAGATCCTCACAAATGATGGAATCAAACTGTACAAGTATTGGTGATCAAATTCAAGACTGACAGTGTACGTCTATTATTGAATGGCGACCAGCGAGCTAATATTGAACGTTTTGCACGATTGAAAATATATAACATAACAAAGAGACGAAACTGAGAAATTTTCTAGAGCCAAAACGAAAGATCGTTTGAAGAAAACACTACAATGTTCCGGTGCAATGTTCCAATTACGTAGATTGACAGTTTTATCAAAGAACTGGCGACTTTTCGTTCAAATTAACTCTAGCTTTAATAAGTTGCCGAGTTCCGTTGAAGTTTTAAAAAGTTCCGGTTTTAATTTTTCTTGTGTAAAATGAAATAATACCACAGTGACTTCAATGTCATAGAGGGAGAAAAGAATTAATCTACAGTCGACTTTTTATCAACAAGACATGATGGCGAATTAGGAACGGTTGATTTCGGATACTATGTGCGAAATTTGAAAAGCAAGCCACTAATTGTGGATCAAATTTGAGTTTTTAGCGCAATTCCCAGTTCGGCAATTTCCACGCAACCTGTTGCTCACAGGTTGAGTTGAAGGACTCTTGTTCCCATGGCAATGCATGTACAAATCTTGTGGTTTATCGCCAAATAGTCATTGATGAACTTAAGTCTGCATTCGAGCCAACTGGCCCATCAGGCCGGAGCTTATCCTGGTTTCTGTAGCATGAAGCTACGAGGAGTATTTCTACTCTCCCCTGGATGGTATGCTAGTGCATCGCAGGGCTACCTCCAGCATTTAAGTTCGCCAGTACCCATTTGTACACCGGGGTGGAGAGAGCCACTGTGGGAGTTGCCTTGCCCAAGAACACAACGCCATGTCCCCAGCCAGGGTTCAAACCCGGACCGCTCGATCTGGAGACAAGCGCACTAACCATAAGGCCACCGCGCCTCACAACCAATTGATGGGAGAACCAATCAAATCGCAGATTTGCAGTACAATGCGAGGATTGTCTACTGCACATACATAAAATAAGAGATGTATTATGACACATCAGCTTAATACTAGAAGCAAGCTACTGGATTATACAGTGTACATACGAATAGTTTGGATGAACTGCATGGGCTTGGTCGGCACTGAGAAGAAATGACTTAGGAATTGCTTCCTCAAAACTGGTTGAGTTTCCACCTGCATTGTTGAGAACAAGGACAATCATGAGTCAATCAACGTCCAAAGCTTATACTTCTTTTGTATGTCATCCCAATATTAATTCCTCCTCCAAAAAAGGTACACATACAGTATATGATGGGAGAAATGAATTGTGATGAAATAATAATAAATGATAAATGTTTCAAGCACATACCCACTGACAGACGGCGCAAAATATGCTCTGTTAGCATGGAGCCCGCACCTTGAGCACTCTGTGAACCAACCTATAGCAAAGACATTGTTCATGATTGACTGGTCAACGAAACAGTAAATAATGTACTGCATAATTTATAAGGAACGAAGAACTAGAACTGCAAAGTTTCGGCACATTAGTTTAGGTATTGGGAATATTTTAAAATCTGTTTACCAGCCACATAAGCTGTTCTTATAAAAANAGAACTAGAACTGCAAAGTTTCGGCACATTAGTTTAGGTATTGGGAATATTTTAAAATCTGTTTACCAGCCACATAAGCTGTTCTTATAAAAATTTAACGTAGTTGCTCCTATTCTAACCATCTCCTATTTCATTACCAGAAACGTATGGACCATTTTATAGTTTAGTGAAATGTAACCTGGCCTCTGTATGAAAGTGAGGTTAGGGTTGACCATCAGGCACTAGTTAGTATGGTGATAGGATAATTTTCATTCAAAAAGTATCAACGTTAATTTGTATCATAACAAAGTCAACTCTAGCCTTGCTTTTGCTCAAAGGCGTGATCACTTCGCTTGGAACTGCAAAATGGGTTCCTTCCTCTTGATGGCCAACCTATTGCTACAGAAAACCAAGTTGCATGTGCTGCTCAACATGATCAGCAGTGTAATGGCCAATTCCCTCTACGAGACTCATCTGCAGGGAATCATGGTAGTTGTATTCATCAAAACAACTATCCAGTTGAAGATGATGAAGACTACTACATGCACCATGATTCCCGGTATGTGCATCTCATAGAGAGAAATAGAAATCGTCTCGGCCACTTATTCATTTAAATTAATAATTTAATGGCAAGTTGGAGGGTGAAATATTTTCCACTTATATTTCTCAAAAAACTTACTTGTTGCCGACAAAAACCCATACTATAACACTGGTTAACAATAATTTATTGTATACTTGCATTGAGCACTTTCCATTTGAGTGTCAAAAAGTAAACGGTTTTGCATCACTGGCTCACTACGCTACACGACTGGCTTAAATAACTTATGCCACTATTAAAACCAAACAGAAGTAAAACCAAAACCAATCGTGACTCACTTGCACATGTTTTCTGTGCCTTGGGTCTGCTACATGTAATACTAATTACCTCGAGTTTTGATTGGTTCAGTGGATTGTCTGTGTTCTTTGTGATTGATTAGTGAGAGTAATTACTTTGGTTTTGGCTTTAGTCAATCGAAAAGCACTCCATCAGCTTACCTCCTCATTGTCATACAAGGCTATAACACGAATGTTAGGATCTGTTGCCAGAGATGAGCCTTTTAGGGACTGAACAAGGCCCTGTAATTTAAAACAATTCCACAATACCAGTCATCAATAAATCACAAAATTGCCCTGAATTGCATAATTATTACTTTTAAATATTTACTCTACTTTTAGACTGGAAGAACTTCCACTGGCATAATACGACATGTTCAATGCTTGGCTAAAGTTAAGCTTGTTAGTCATAGCATATAAGACTTTATACGATTGCATATTCATAGCAAGTATTTCATTTGGGATATCCTTTTTAAGAAATAGAAAACATGTTCTCCGTGTTCCTATCAAGATTTAGTATAAATCTACTAGCGTTCTATCACGAAAGGTGTTCTCTGATTGGC